TAGGAGCAGAGTCTCTGCTCCTATGATGCTGCTTGGCCTGCTGTGTTCATCCAGCCCTGCACCTTGTTGTCTCGGATTCTCCAGCATCTGCAGTTCCTACTATCTCTGTGCTAATATACAGTTAGTTATGTCAAGCAAATGAATTTTTGCAAGTTCTCTTGCCACTCCACTGTAACATTGGGAAGAGCCATGGCAACCCTGAGAAAATAGTGGGCAAGCAAGATAACACCTGCAGAAGTTCACCACAAATATTTAAAAAACAATTTTGCACTTGTCATTACATCTCAAAATGGTTTACAACGCAAAGGAATTGCAGACCAACATGAACATGCTGCATAAAGCTGAGTCTACCAGCCTTGAAGCCTTGCTTCTAAAGAACCAAGCCATTGTGTCCAAAACTACCTCTCTCAGCAGGTTCTGTTCTCTCAGCTCTCCATTGACAATGCCAAAAGATTGGCTAAAGGAAGAGATAAGGGTACGCTCAAGGTCACCTTAAAGCACACAGGCATTGTCACCAATGATTGGGAGGAGAAAGCTGCCAACCATTTGGCATGGCACTTCCTGATCCATCAAAGATCAAGTTCCTTCAACCAAGGCTCACTGAGTTGACTCCAAGGTGGAATGGCAGAGGAAAGAGAAGAAGCCATCCTGAGCTGTGACATTCACTTCCCCACACAGCAACATGCCCCACTGCAAAAAAACATACAGATTCAAAGGTCAAATGCTCAGTTATCCGAACACTGGTCTAGCTTAATAGATGTCATGCTCAACTTAAAGGAACCTCCACCAACATAGACATAGAAATCTAATTTGTTGAGCAAGAAGCAAAATTCAGAATGGAACAGAATAAAGCAACAAGATTGAGTTTCCTTGTCTACATTCCACTGCCACCTTTACCCAATCAATTTTTTTAATTCTGAAGGATGTGCATTGAAGTCTCACTCTGGGACCTGAGTGTAATCTAACTGACACTCTTATGTTGTGCTGAGAGGGTGCTGCTTGTCAGTCATTACTCTTTTTAGATGAGACAGCTTCAAAGGGATGTTAAATATTGTTCAGGACTATTCAAAGGAGAGCAGGGAGTTCTCTTAACATCCTGACTAACATTCCTCCCTCAAACACCAAAATAGTGATTCAAATTATTGCTGTTATGGGATCTTGCGATGTGCAAAATGACTGCATATTTTATTTGAACAGCGCAAGTAAATCAGTGTATCTGAAGCTGCTTGAGGTATTTCTGACAGATCTGATACACATGAGGGTAAGTTCAGAGAATAATGCAGTTTTATGGGATTCATATTTGATGTTTTTTGGATATTTTCATGATTTGGTCAAACTGGAGCCTTTGCCAGTTCTTGTTACAAATCTAACAACATCACCTTATATTTTCATGGCTTGCAAAACATCTCTCAGTGCTCCTAAGTTCAGGCAGATCAGACTCTAGCGGGGACTAGCAGAGATTGGGGTGGTTTAGGATGGTGGAGGAGTAGGACACTCCAACTGGAGCTCCTCCGCTCTTTCTGTTTATTTCCCATTTTCTTCTCTTTCTTCCCCTCTTTTTGGTGTTTTCCCCCTCTTGGTGGCAGGTCTCAGCCTGGTTTCTCAGCAGGTCTCAGCCTGGTCTCCCAGCAGCTTGTTGTGGGTCCCAGCCTGGTCTCTTTGTGGCTCATGGTGGGTGACTTGTAGCGAATCCCAGCCTGGTCCCGTGATGGTGTGATGACTCTCAGCCTGGTCTTTCAGTGGCTCGTGGCGGGTTTGCTTTGTACCTAAGTTTTTTTTTACTTAGGTGCCATGTGTGGCGACATTATACTTTTCACTGTACTCCTGTACTTGAGTACATAGAATCATAGAATCCCTACAGTATGGAAACAGGCCATTCAGCCCAACAAGTCCACATCGACCCGCCGAGGAGCATCTCACCCAGACCCATTCCCCTACCCCTGCATTTCCCTTGTCTAACCCACCTAACCTAAACATCCCTGGGCACTATGGGCAATTTAGCATGGCCAATCCACCTACCCCGCACATCTTTACACTGTGGGAGGAAACCGGAGCACCCGGAGGAAACCCATGCAGACACAGGGAGAATGTGCAAACTCCACACAGACAGTCGCCCGAGGGTAGAAGCGAACCCGGGTCCCTGGTGCTGTGAGGCAGCAGTGCTAACCACTGAGTCACCGTGCCGCCCCTAAGTACACGTGACAATAAAATCTAAAATCTAAATCTAGATGATAATGAAAGATGCAGTGAAGTAGATCAGTTAAGATGAGAAAGTTGAAGGGAGAGATTTTGTATGGAAGATTGAGTTTTAGAGAGACTTCCAGTATGTAGGGAAAAGATGGCTGAATGCTAGGCCACCGATGTAGTTGAGGGAGCAGTGCCTGCACAGTAAACCAGCAATGGAATAGGGGAGGACGCAGGAAAAGAAGTTGAGAAAGTTGCAATAGGGGCAGAGAAGAAGGGATAAACCTATAGGGAACTTTGAAGATGAGGAGTCTGAAGTCATTGTGATCAGGGCATGTGTAGCTAAAGGAGGTTAGCCAGGACAGAATTGGTAGAAAGTGGAATGTTGTGGAAGTGAAGCCCTGGATCAATTAGAGTTTATGAGGGATAAAACCTTGGAGGTTGGCAAATGGGATTGTGGAAGAGTTGAGCCTATTGAGGACAAAAGCTCAAGTAAGGGATTAGGTATTTTGGGGATTAGGTGGGAAGGTGTGAAAGTAGAAAATCTTGTGATGGATGCGATGTGGATGTGCACATGCACATGGCAAGTGCCAAATAGCTACAAGTCTTACTCAGCTAAATTCCAAAGATAAGATTTGTAAATCCCGTGGGATACTGTTAATAAATCTACAGGAATGCCATGGTAATACTGTTGGAGCATTGTCACTTAATTGTTACTGATGGCTGGATTCTGAAAAGTATTTGCCAGGTATTTCTTAGTACAGTCAGACAGTGTGGTCTTGCAACTGGTGCCTGGTTTATGGTTTATGTTCATCGCTGATAAGGAGCACATGTTAGCGTGTATCTGACTATGACTTTCTTCATTACAGATTTTGTGCTTGTTTGGGAGGTGAAAAAGAAAAGGTCAAAAAGGCAGAAAGTGAGGTCCACATATCAGGAAATGGAAAGAGAAGAAAAAGATACAACAAAAATGAACTTGTACAACAGACATGAAAAATGGAGAAAGAAATTTGTGAAAAATTTACAGAATGCAGGGCTTTTGATGGAGAAGGTGAGGGAATTCCTACCTGCAAGCAATATTCTGTTCCCACAAAAGGAAATTGTTCAGTGTCAGGAGATCAACAGGCAGTACTCTAGTTCTGGGTTGTTCAGCCCAAGGAGCCAATCTGAATCACTTTCTGATTTCAAACTGCTGAAGCAAACAAATTTGGAGCAGTAGTAGGCCATTCAGTCCCTTGAGACTGCTCTGCCATTTGATAAGATCATGGTTGATTTATTTACTCTACATTCCTATCTATCCCCAATAACATTTGACCCGGTTGCTTACCAGGAATCTATCTTCCCTTCTTCAAAATGTTCAGAAAGTTGGCTTCCACCAACTTTGAACAGGCAAGTGTCAAAGATTCACGACCCCAAGTGAGAACAAAATCTCATCTTTGAGTTAAAGGGGTGACCCTTCATTTTTAACTAGTGACCCCTCATCCTTGCTTCTCCCACAAGAAAAAACATTCTTTCCATGTCCACCCTGCCAAGACACCTCAGAATCTAATACTTTCAATATATTCAGTATCTAATACCTTGATGCCTTCTGATTTTAAAAAAAACCTTTTCTCAAGAGTCCCAACAGCAGAACCATCTGATCTCTCAGTGAGGAATAAAGTAAACTTATGACTGTGCCACCATAATTCAGGACAGGGAATGCAGTATTGCTGGGAGTGGAAGATACATTCTGTGAGCTACCAGATTACTCTGAAATAAAGTTGAGAATCTAGTTCAAAAGATATCTAAAGAGATTCAATTTGCAGTAACTTGTGCTAAATAAAACTTAATGCTTAGGATTTTAGTACTTTGGGTTTTTATTTCTAGATAGATTATATCGACCATGCCCTAATATTTAATAAAAATTGGAGTCATCTGGTGGGAATTTAAGTGTGACTCTCAAGTAAGTCCCTGATACTTTCTCCAGTCACATACTTGCAAATTATTGGATAAACTCAATGATCTCACAATCCAGGTGGGCAGAAGTGCTCAAAACAGATGGGCTGGAAAAGTTCTGATTCTCCATTCCATACTCTCCTTGAGTAGGTCAATAAACACAGGTCAGAGATTTAAAGTAATTGGTAAAGAACCAGAGGGAAAATGAAAAATATCTTCACACACAGTTGGAAATACAACCAGTTGAAAATGTGGTCGAATCAGATTCCATTGTAATTTTCAAAAGGCTAATAGATATGGTCTTGAAGAGGACTAATTTACAAAAAAAAGGGGAAAGCTCAGTTGTGGAGCTGAATTGGATAGCTCTTTCAAAAACCTAGCATAGATACATGGTGCCAAATGGTCTTCTCCTGTGCTATCCAATCTACTATTCTATTCAATGATTCTGAGCATAGCTCCCATTAAAATGTAAATTGTCAACTTTACCCTTATGATTACCTGCATACTTGGCCCAGGGTGTGTTACTGTGACAGGAATTGATGTCTGACACCCATTTGGAAACAGTTGTGAATGTTCTGTGATGGGCTGTCAGTGTGTGATGTGTATCTGAGTAAGGGAACATGATGCATGATGTTTTATATACCTTAGCTTACATCCATGTGGTTAATACTCTGTTGGTATCTCAATGTAATTATTTCCCAGGATGTAACTATCAGTGAGAAGAAGTGTATCCATTACCTGAAGCTGAGTGCCCCCTGGGATGTACTGGTGTATTATGCTGAAGAGTTGTCGCTGAGGGCTCCCCTACAGGTGTGTAAGGTCACGTTTATATCCCAAAAGTGCTTTCAATTGCTGACATTTCATAGATGCATTTTAGAAGAACACAGTGGGATCTGGAAATGAATCACATAGACCAGGAAATTGCCAAATTTAACCTATAGATTAAGTTGAGTTTGTTGATCTTACAAATAGGGTAATTTATGCAAAGTAATTACTATGCCTGCTAAAAACAGCAGATGTAGTTTTATAATCTATTTATTTATTTTCTTAATTTATCTTTGCCCACCCACACGTGTCAAATACATTGGTGTGGTTCCCAAGCTGCGTACTCTCCAAGGCTATAGCCTTTAGAACCCCTTTCATTTCCATCACTCTGTGCTTTCTGTGCTAGTTACCTCCTGCTTTTGTTTGGCAATCAGTCTTCTGTTTCGCATGTTTCAGTTATCCAGCTGCTGCATTATGTTTGCTTTCTGTGTGCATTTTGGCTGAGTCACCAACTCAATCTTTTTTTATTGTACTCACAGGCTCAGCCCAACCCCTGCATGAATACGTCTGAGGCAATCCTGAGAAAGCTCCGTATTCCCAACATAATGACTGAGAATGTTCCCAACAGGCCAGTGGATTATTACACCTGTCCTTTCCGTAAATCCAAGCTGGACAAGTAAGTCATCAGCAGGGCAGAGGGATGCTCCAAGTTTGAGGGAATTCCTATGTGTTGATGTCTGTGTGCATTGTGTAGCCTAAGGTGAATAGGGAAACTGCAGGAAGGAGCAATGACCACAGGGAGGTGGAATTCATTTATTGCTTACAGCAGCAAATATGTTTTCTAAAGTCTTTTCAGTCAAAGATTTATCAGGATAGCTCCACTTCCAGTGTAAGGGGAAAGTATTCTTGAGGTTATTACTTTGATAGATGTCCACTCTGGAATGCTACTATATTTCTCTTCATAGTGTACCTGTCACCCTACGGGGTTGTACACATTGCTATAGAATTATCACTTGGATTTGAAACTTGTAATGAGCTGCTAATATCAAATGTGCTATTGTGGACAGAATCCAAGTGAAATGTTATCACTTTTCTTTTGGAGATGGAGCCCATCCAAGTACGCTCTTCGATATCAGTGACTGGCTCTAGAACAGCTTGGGTAAAGCTTTAAGACTGGAATCAGTGCAGTTTATGCACTATGGAGACCATTCGGCTCATCATGTTTGTGTATGCTGAGAAAGATCTACTCAGCCTAATCCCACTTTCCAGCTCTTGGGTTACAGCCCTGTGGGTTACACATCTCAAGTGTCTATTCAAATACTCTTTAAATGTGTCATGTGTCTCTGCCTCCACCACTCTTGTTCAGTGATTCCAGACTTCCTGGGTTAAAAAAATCTCCTCAACTCTTTCTAACAATTATCTGAAATCTACCCACCTGATTATGTTCTCCCTGCAAAAGGAAACTTCCCACCTTTTTACACTTTCTAGGTCCCCTTCATACACCTAAATGGAAGTAAGGCCTTAATATGGACAAAAACATGGAGATGGACTAGCAGTCTTTGATTGTTTAGGCCAGTTTTTATCCCTTTGGCAGTTTTGCAAAGTGTGCTCACTGACATCTATAGAATAGCAATTTATTGTCGTGTGTATTTTTACAAAAACACAGTGAAAAGTTTTATAAGTCACCATACCACAGCACCTAAACTAATGACAGAAGTAATAAGTAAGAAGAAAAAAAGTGTAAAAATTCATCACAATTCAATTAATGGCTCCTGGGTTTGGGGTATGCTGGAAAACTGGGCCGAATCTGCCCCGCCACACCAAAACGAGACATCCATACTGGGACTAGACCTCCACACTGGGCCATTGGAAGACCTGGAAGCCACCTCAGAAACCAAGACGAGACCTCCATGCCAAGATGCAACCTCCATGCCAGGACTAGACTTTCATGCCAGGCTGCTGGAATATCTCCACGCGGGGACAAGACCATCATGCCAGGCTGAGACCGCCCCTCCTGGACAAGACTTCCACACCGGGAGACCACCCCACCAGGCACCAGGCCTATACTGCCATTCTGGGATGCTGGAAGCTACCTCATAATTGGGCCTGGGTTGGAAGAAGGTGCCTTCCGCCGAAGTTGTTAAAAGAAAGCAAGGTACCATAACAAATGGAAGCATTTTTAAAAAGTGTAGAAAGAAAAGAAAAGTAAAGCAGATGGAGTAGAAGAAATCTGGGCTCCTGGGCTGAAGAACTTGCATGTTGTGCTGCTATTCCACCACCATCTTGGAGTACTGTCAATGCACTGATGACCCTTACTCAGAAAGATAGAACCTGATTGATAATTTCAGATGATTGTGCAAGTTTGAAGGCTACGGGGGCTGAGAAAATGGCTCTGATCACTTTGGATGCTGTAACTTTGTTGATGTTAATGACCATTTTCCATTTGAGTTTTAGGGAAGTATGGTTAATCATTGCAACCAGACACTAGCTGTTAGCCAATAGGCTGCAGTTCAATCCTGCTTCTCCCTCCCCCAGTGGTCTTCTCATTTTTTTGTATCTATGAAGTAGAGGATGCCATGACATCCAATTTGAATTGGTGCTTTCCTCATGTATTGGTTTCAGTATTTTGTTTCAGACTTTGGTAACAGTTAGCACTTCAAGACAAAGTTACCTTTTCTTTTTTGTTGCTATAGGTTTTTGGGAAGCAGTAATCATGAGACATACTTTACTAACACACAGAGGCATCGGATTGTAAGTCTTGTTTTGAAATATGTGAACATAGATTTGCAAAGTATGTATGTAAGAGGTGTGAGCAGAGACATTTTTAGGAATGTGTCCAGCTCACTCACCCCAATAATCTAACAGATGGATGCTACCTTTTCACCACATCCTGCTATCCTTTTCTATCACATCAGTTATCTAATGAACGCACTTATATTCATCTTCCTTGGGAACTTTTTATTTGAGTTCTTTACCTGGTCCACCTTTGTCAGTCCCTTTCATTGAGACCATCTCAAAACTACTTGTCGTCTGCCAAAATTGGGGAGTGACGAGCTGAGCTTCCTTCAATCAGGATTCTTTTGTGGCTGGTATTTTTTCTTGTAAGAATAAATTTAAAATCATTGTTCTGGGAGTTGGGGGTCGGGGAGTAGAGTGCCCAAATTCCATAGTACTCCCATACCCCCGCTCCACTGAAATTCCACCCTTTCCCATAATTTTCTGAAAATGTGTAAGATGCTGGTGGTTTTCATAAATGATGTAATGAGGTCAGGAACTCAATTTCAGGTTAGCCTTCTGCCTCCTGGCTCGGGTGTGGGCTCCATGCAGAAGACCTGTTTCAGAGCTGAAAATGGGTCTAAAGGAATATCCTTCCTTTTGGTAAACACTGACTGAGCCCCTGTGTACTTGCAACATTTCAGGTTTATTCCTCAACTTCCTTTAAAACTTCCTATATATTAAATACTGTGTTGTAATTTTTCAGGGACATTGAATTGAACGGCATGAATAGTCAATTTGTGGAGAGGGAAAGAACTGAGGGATGGTGAGAAAGTGGATAGACATTGGGGATATTTTACTTGAGTAATCGTGTAGGATGATTTGTTAAAAAGAATGAGTCTACTGGTTGTTCCTCAAAATTTGTGTGATCCTGTCTATACAAGGAATGCGCAAGTGCATAAGACTATACTATTGTATTTCTTTGTGAAATTCATTTCAGCTTGAGTCAGGATGATAAAGAATAAGTAAGGCTGACAAAAAGCGCTGATTGAAATGTAACAATGCATTACTGAGCTGGTTGGAAGAGCTGGCAAAGGAGAGGATAGAGGGGTTTAGCGTGTGCATTAGAATGATTGGGCGCATAAATAAAACAGATTGGGAGCATAAATAAAACAGTGAGGTAATGATAAAGGGAATGGTCAGATTCTGAGCAGTTGGAAATGTGAGTACCGCCTGCAGATGTTTGGTGTTGGGGATATTTTACCTGAGTAACAGTGTAGGATGATTGGTTAGGGTCAGATATTAGGTCGTATTCCTGCTAGGGATGCTTTCTGGAGGTGTTGAATGGGTTATCAGGCAGGGTGGAGTAGTTTAGTATTTGAATAGAGAGTAAGGAAGGGAGGCAATGTGTCTGTGGAATATTTGAGAGGATTACATTGAGAAGTCTGTGGGGGGAATTTAGTAGGGGTATTGTTCTGGGGTGTGATGTGAATGTAGGCTTTGTGATTTACTGAAGCTTGCTGTGTTTCAGGTTTATGAAATTCTAGCCACAACAGTGTACGGGAAAAGGAAGAGAACACAAATTGGGATTGATCGCTTGCTAAATGAAAACATCTTTGCATCTGCTTTCCCACTCCATGAGGTAAGAGGCACTGGGATAATGAAGATGAATATTTTGTAAAAGTTGGTTCTATGAAATGTTGTAGACCGCAGCAAGTGGCCCTCTTTCTCTGTCTGTAATACCATGTATCTCAATGTCTCTTTGCAATACACATGTACTGACATTCACTGGTGTATCTTGTGCTGTCTGTAGGGCCCCTATGAATTACCAGAGTATGAAGTACCTCCAGAAAGTCTGAATCCAAGACAAAGTTTGTATAAGTATTGGGCTCGTTGGTCCCAGTGGTATAGATATCAACCACTTGATCACATCCGAGAGTACTTTGGAGAAAAGATTGCCATTTACTTTGCTTGGCTGGGTGAGTTCCTTGTTCAATGGTTCTTTGTGTGAAGAATAACTAGGAAACAATCAAGAGTTATGAATTTATAATAATGGGCTCAATTATGCTTTTTCTATGTCGTCTTTAAAGAGTCAGGCTTGTGATGGGTGAAATTTTAATGATAAGTATATTCAGGCCTGGTTCAACAGGTGTCACTTTAATTGGGGTTAAGAAAGACAGTTTAAGTCAAGTTAATATTTCTGTAACCATTCACTACAATTGGCTGTCAGGGATTGATTCTTTATGAAGCTAAGCATTACCAAATCTATCATCTATGTACATTCCCATAGATCTGTATGTCCATGGCAGCAGCATTTCAAAATTATTTGCATTTGGAGAGCAAGAAAAGTTGAAAGTTAAGGCGAGAGTAAAGTGAAAGTCAACTGGAACTTCTTCACCGAGGGGGAATGCTATTAAAATGGATGTGAGATAATAGATACAGGTTTGGAGAAAATGGCCTAAAACATATGGTGAAAATTGATTCCGAGATTTAGTGAGAAAAGATTGAAGGACAGGATGTGTTCTTTGTATCTAAGAGATTACATTGACCATTTTAATCTCTGGAATCGTTGTGACTTTTCCTGAAACCATTGGCAGATTTCATGTGTTGAAATAATGTGGAAAATGGTGCACCAAGTGTAAGTAGGTGGATTTCCTCTGGCTATCACCACCTTACAAAGTTTTGAGACTAAATAATAAGTTCTTGTGGAGTTTACTCAATTTTAAAAATGCACAGCAAAGCTTTTACTTCTTTCTTTGCAGGTTTTTACACAACTTGGCTTCTCCCTGCTGCTATAGTTGGGACATTAGTCTTCATCTCTGGGCTAATGTCAATGAATACAAGCAAACCAGCGTAAGTCAATGAGTTGTGAGAACAACACAACTATAGTTACCTATCAAAACCACCTCTATTCGGATAGGAGACACTGGATTTTTAAATTTGTTCCTTGAACATGAAATGGGAAGGAAAACGTGGGAACCTTTAAGTGTCCAAGAGTTGAGAAGGGTGGGGGCATTTTTGAATGACTTTTTTCACAATAATTTCTCTAACAAAAGATTACTTTCCATAATCCAATATCCAGAGTCTTTGGGAGCTCTGTGAATTCATGAGAATGATTAGTGTTGAATAACACCAGATAAAGCCCAGGCAAAATTGCAGTCAAAGTAATGATGGAAATGTGCATCCAAGATTGTTGAGAGATGCAAATAGGGTAGACAGAGATTGAATATGAAAGTGACAGAAGAAAACAAATCTCATGCAAATTCCAAAGTCAAAAGCTAGGTACTATAATTTTACTTGTTAATTAGATAAATATTAGGATTGATTCTGACGGAACAGACGGGCTGATTAGTTCAATTGTCTTGAAAACAAAGTTCTGGAGAAATTCAGCATGACAGGTAGCAGCTGTGAACTGAGAAACAGATTTAATGTTTTGTTCTGAAGAAGAATCACATTGGACCTGCAACTCTGTTTCTCTTTCCACAGGTGCTGTGAGGCCTGCTGAGTTTCTCCAGAACTTTGTTTTTTTAAAATTTCAGATCGCTAGTATTTTTACTTTAACTCAGCTGACTAGAATGAGGTGAAGGATGATACCAACAGCATGGGTTCAATTGCATACCAATGTGCTCATTTGTGGACATGAGTCTCCTTGCCTTGCCCACACTTTATGTAGAGTAGTGTCCCTCAAGATGTATAATCAGTTGTCACATATGTTTCCAGATATATGACTACTTATTGTCAAGATATGTATTTGAATTGATGCGTGATGGTAGAATGATGGATTTTGTGCATGAATATTTTTATAAAGCTAGTGATAAAATTCCTCAAAGCTTGATGCAATCTCATGGGATTGAGAAGGATATTAGATTTGGTAAATGGTGAGCTGGTTAGCTCAGTTGGTTAGATGATTAACATGTGTTTCAGAATAATAGAAATAGCACAAAATTTGGCCCTATCCTGCCTGAGATAAGCTTGGATCCTGCCTCCCCACCCGGCCCTGAGTAACTCACAGCTTAAACCATGGTTTGTAACCCTCAAATACTTGAGGTTGCTACCTGGAGAAGAAAAAGAAGAAATGTTATTAATTAACTAATGAATTGAAAACATAAATGAGCTGTCAAACGCAGCCAGTATTTGTTATTGGGCATTGGAAAGTGGGGCATATTAACTTGTAAAATGAGCAAACATGATACAACCATAACGGTTGTTTAATTCAATATAAAGTGTCAGAGATTCAGGTGTACTGAATCATATATTGAAAACCTTGGAACAATTTTAGGTCAGTAGAATAAGAATGTAAGAAAGCAATGCCTGCTAACAAAGTGGACAAATTCATTGCTTGAAACAGTCAAACATAGCAAGAGAACCTAAAATCTGATTCTCAGTTTCTAAATTAAGTAGCTGCATTAAGAGCAGAAAAAGCATGTTACAATTGCCAAGGGCAGTGAATATCAGACCTGATTTCTGCTCCTGATCAAATTAGAAAGTGTACGTGTATAGATATCAGCTGAGGACGGATTTAGATATGACTTAATGTCCATATAGTCAAGTAACCCACCCTCCCTTTTGTAGACAACAAGGTGCAGGGCTGGATGAACACAGCAGGCCAAGCAGCATCATAGGAGCAGAGAGGCTGACGTTTCGGGCCTAGACCCTTCATCAGAAAAGGGGGAGGGGAAGGGGGTTTTGAAATAAATAGGGAGAGAGTGGGAGGCGGATAGAAGAGGGATAGAGGAGAGGATAGGTGGAGAGGAAACAAACAGGTCGAAGAGGCGGGGATGGAGCCAGGAAAGGTGAGTCTAGGTAGGGAGTTAGGAAGGGGATAGGTCAGTCCAGGGAGGACGGACAGGTCAGGGGGGCGGGATGAGGTTGGTCGGTAGGAGATGGAGGTGTGGCTTGAGGTGGGAGGAGGGGATAGGTGGGAGGAAGAACAGGTTAGGGAGGCAGGGACGAGCTGGACTGGTTTTGGGATGTGGTGGGGGGAGGGGAGATTTTGAAACTTGTGAAATCCACATTGATACCATTGGGCTGCAGGGTTCCCAAGCGGAATATGAGTTGCTGTTCCTGCAACCTTCGGGTGGCATCGTTGTGGCACTGCAGGAGGCCCAGGATGGACATGTCGTCTGAGGAATGGGAGGGGGAGTTGAAATGGTTCGCGACTGGGAGGTGCAGTTGTTTATTGCGAACCGAGCGTAGGTGTTCTGCAAAGCGGTCCCCGAGCCTCCGCTTGGTTTCCCCGATGTAGAGGAAGCCACACCGGGTACAGCGGATGCAGTATACCACATTGGCAGATGTGCAGGTGAACATCTGCTTGATGTGGAAAGTCTTCTTGGGGCCTGGGATGGGGGTGAGGGAGGAGGTATGGGGGCAGGTGTAGCACTTCCTGCGGTTGCAGGGAAAAGTGCCAGGTGTGGTGGAGCTGGAGGGGAGTGTGGAGCGGACAAGGGAGTCACGGAGAGAGTTGTCCCTCCGGAAAGCAGATAAGGGTGGGGAGGGAAAGATGTCTTTGGTGGTGGGGTCGGATTGCAGATGGCGGAAGTGTCGGAGGATGATGCGTTGGATCCGGAGGTTGGTGGGGTGGTACGTGAGGACGAGGGGGATTCTTTTTTGGTTCTTATTGTGTGGACGGGGTGTGAGGGATGAATTGCGGGAGATGTGGGAGACACGGTTGAGGGCGTTCTCGACCACTGAGGGGGGAAGTTACGGTCCTTGAAAAACGAGGACAACTGAGATGTACGGGAGTGGAATGCCTCATCCTGGGAGCAGATGCGCAGGAGGCGAAGGAATTGGGAATAGGGGATAGCATTTTTGCAGGAAGGTGGGTGGGAGGAGGAGTATTCTAGGTAGCTGTGGGAGTCGGTGGGCTTGAAATGAATATCGGTTTCGAGGTGGTTGCCCGATATGGAGACAGAGAGGTCCAGGAAGGGGAGAGAGGTGTTAGAGATGGTCCAGGTAAACTTAAGGTTGGGGTGGAAGGTGTTAGTGAAGTGTATGAACTGTTCGAGCTCCTCGTGGGAGCACGAGGCGGCACCGATACAGTCATCAATGTAACGGAGGAAGAGGTGGGGTTTAGGGCCGGTGTAGGTACGGAAGAGGGATTGTTCCACGTAACCTACAAAGAGGCAGGCGTAGCTTGGGCCCATGCGGGTACCCATGGCTACCCCCTTTGTCTGTAGGAAGTGGGAGGAATTGAAAGAGAAGTTGTTGAGTGTGAGGACGAGTTCGGCTAAGCGGATGAGGGTATCAGTGGAGGGGGACTGGTCGGGCCTGCGGGACAGGAAGAAGCGGAGGGCCTTAAGGCCATCTGCATGGGGAATGCAGGTGTAGAGGGACTGGACGTCCATGGTAAAGATGAGGTGTTGGGGACCGGGGAATTGGAAGTTCTGGAGGAGGTGGAGGGCGTGGGTGGTGTCACGGACATAGGTAGGGAGTTCCTTTTGTAGTGATTGTTATGAGGTCAGCCAGCTGGACATCATTGAATATGAGTCCCCTGATTGGAGCTGTTAATCTGGTCCGACCAGGGAAGTCTGGCTGACAGATAAAAGTGGAATGTCAGAATCTCTGACACTCTGGTAGCTGACTCAAAAGAGGCAGTATTAAAGTCAAGGACTGTTCATGTGTAAATAAGAGGTCACTTGGTGACAGGATACTGGCCTCTGTGCAGTTATTTCACCTTTTTAATTTTGTGCATGTCAATTGCTCATTTCAGTGAGGTGCCCATAAGTGGCTGCTTTGAAATTATGCACAATGTTGATTCGTTGTCTCTCGGCAAGTTTGGAAGAATGGGAAGATGAGGCTTTCAGCCCATTCACCATTTGCAGCTGATTAAGACCTGTGCCTTGATGCATGCAGTCTGAAAAAGGGAGAATGCACAGAGACTGGCACATTGATCAGTTTTGTTTTATATCTTGCAGAGAAGAGATTTGTAATAGCAGCAACCTGTATCTCATGTGCCCTCTCTGTGACACTTGTGATACCTGGAATATTTCAGAGATCTGTTCCATGGCTAAAGTAAGTCTTTTAAAGCTGTAATTATTATTTGGGTCTTATTTGTTTTTATATATTGGTACCTGTAGTTGTGTAATTATGTTTTGTGCCCTCATCAGGCCAATTGTATGTAGTATTTTGAATCCAAAAACCTTTAGTATTTTATTGATGTTCTGTAGGTCCTAGAACATTTCTAATCTGTTCCCATGCAGTATCTGCATTGTAGAAGTGCAAAAAGGGCAGATTGTTCCTTGAAGACAGTTTGGTGATGAATAAATTGTCCAGGTAAGATCAGCAGTAGGCCAGACAGCCCCTGAACTTGCTCTGCCATTCAGTGTCGTCATGGTCGATCTATGACCAAACTTCCTATAACAGCACAGGTTCTGTAGTGATTGTATGAAGTAAGCCAAGTGGACCTAATAGAATTCCCTGACTGGAGCTGTTAATCTGGTCCAATCAAGGATCCCAGGCTAACAGATATAAATAGGACAGTCAGCAGTTCTATTCACTCTGAGAGCTGGCTCTGAGGGAGCTGGATCAGTGTCAAGGACTTTTCATGTGTAAGTAAAGGGTGAGTTGGTGACAGGATACCGACCTTTGGAGTTATTTCAGGATCCCTCTCCAAAGACTGTTTAGGATGTGCTAGTTATTACCTAACATTGGAATTCTCTCTCTCTCACTCCATACCATGGAGAATAAAGGTGAATATGAAGGAGGTTTTTCATTCACTCTTCACTGCCCCCTTGCTTCATCAATGCAGATTTATAAATTCATTACAAATTGAAATTTTTTTTATACCCATTATTATATAGAAATCACTGTATAAAATCAGACCATTCAGTCTAGTTGATCTTAACTGGTGTTTATATACCTGATTCCACCCTGCCAACACTTGCTTCTCTTCGTTTCTATCTCATGTACATCTCTGGATCTTTACGCGTATGTTTTTTATCTCAGCTGCTACTTCTCATGGTGAATTCCACATTCTAATCACACTCTGAGTAAAAATGTTTCCCTAAATTTCTTATGGATTTTGTTAGTGACTATCTGATCTTTATGTTCGATTGATTCCCTCAACTATCTACCCTATCCAGTCCCTTTGTAATTTTAAAGATATTAGTTCGTTTGTCATTTTTTTCTAGCGAAAGGAGACCCAGTCTGTTCAGTCTTTCCTGATAGTTATAATCCCAAGTTAATTCATAGAACGTATTTCATAATAAGATCCATTTCTTAAGTAGTTATCCTCTTAATAGGAAAAGGCACAACTCTTTTTTGTGTTTGTTTTCTCATTACATCTGTTCCCTGCAGCTTGGTTACCTCTTTGACCATCCTGGCACAGTCTTCTTCAGCATCTTCATGTCTTTCTGGGCAGTGACCTTCTTGGAATACTGGAAACGGAAGAATGCTACTCTGGCACATCACTGGGATTCCGTGAACTTTGAGGAAGAGGAGGTGAGTCTGGAAGTAAAGAAAAATCTGCCAATTGATTCAACCTCTGTGTTCAGTCTGATCCTGCCTGGTTTAAGTCAAGATCCTTGAAAGCTTAGTCCTTCCTTCACGCACAAATCAGGTGGAATTTCAACATTTTTACTTATGATAAATTCTCAGATAACTTTTCATATTTTCTGAGATGTTTTGAGTGATGTAAAGCTGACATGAAAACCATCCCTGTGGAAGGATGGTGCACAATGCCTGTGGATAGTAATCTAATTAAAATTTTAAAAGTTGGGTAAAATCATAATAACTAGAAGGTGTGGATGACAACATTGTCCTCAGGAAATAGTTTATTTTCTGAGTGTCCATAAACAGACGATGTACCCTGGGCCTGTCCATTTACTCAGATTGACACTGAGAATTGCATCCTCGAGTTGCTAATCCAACCTCCAAGTGTAATGAACATGACCCCCAGATGTTCAGAGCCTTTCCAATCCAACCAAGTAGAAGCTATTCAATGACACCAAGCAAGCAATGAGGGTAAAATGACCCGATTTGTGAAATTTGTCAATGTATAATATGCCTTGCAAGAATAGGAAATTATTCAACTGTGTCCAGAAGCTATGGTACTGATATATTGAGTGAGAATGAGAGGCTGTTGTTTGTTTGCATGACTCAAAACACCAATGTTTTCAATATAGAAAAAGAGTGATGGGTGCTCGAGCTATCTCTCATGTATCTATACGAGCCTTCGGCCCAGGAATAGGAAATTTGGCACTTTGAATCTGCTCCACCATTCAATAAAATCCTTGCTTTGATCATGGCCCCAACTTCACCTTCCTGCCTATCTGTAATAACCTTTTGACTCACTTATTTGTAAAGCTAGTGAAGAATTTATGTATCTTTGTCTTAAAAACACTCAATGCCCTATCCTCTATGCTGTTTAGGGAAGAGAGTTCCAAAGGTTCACAACCTCAGATTAAACATTTCTCCTCAATTGGAAAGCAGATGCGTGATTTCGGTTAGTTACTGTTTGGATTTGTTCTATTCAGAAACGTCCTGCATTCAACTGTCAAGATTTGGGCAACTGTTAACACTAGCTAATGCCCAATACCAGTAGTTGAACCATTCTTTTTATTGTTTGTATGCAATAATAACACTGAGGTACTAATAATGGTAAAATGAAGATTTTTGACACCAGACATCAGAGTTAAGGCAAGCATTCAGATCTACTCTGTACCAGTAACTGCTTTTCCTGCAGGAACGTCCCAGACCTGAGTTTGCTGCAAGGGCACCAATGATGGAACAGAATCCAGTCACTGGAATCAAGGAACCATATTTCCCTGAGAAAGACCGCCTATCCCGAATCATCACAGGATCGATGGTTATCATAATTATGGTGAGAGGACATATGTTACCAGAAAGAATGGACCTTTCAGTGATCCTGACTCTTAGAACTTGGGCCCCAGACTCAGATTCGTGGGCAGTTGTTTAAAAGCCAGGAATTATGATTTTCCTTTTGAACTACAGCCCTCCTTCAGTCACTGGGAGTGTCTGCACAGAAACATGGACAGGAAAACAAGCAATTAACTTGCAAAGAGAACAACTGGCTGTCCATACTGTCATTCCAAACATATTTCAACTGTAGGTCTAGCAGAGATGAATTTTCCTGAACTGCAGCAACAGTGGCAGTTCACACCACTTAACCCAAAGTTGGGAGTGGCACAGGATCAGCATGTGAATTAAATGTCTTAACTGACACTCACCTCAAAATACTAATAATACTATGCTTGGAATGTGAAAATGAAGATTAGAACAAATTTAAATATACACTTAAAAGGGAATTACTTATCTTTTTTTTGCACCACATTCACTGTATTGTTGAACATTGTGCCTGTTGTGATGGTTTCTAATATCCAACAGACAGGGTCCTACACAAAAGATGAGTGATCTGACCTATCAGTTCTTGTCAAGTCCAAGACTACATTAGGCATAGGACAGATTTTATATTGTGTTTCTGCTTTTGGGAAAGAAAATTCTTGATTTAAGGGAAGGGTAATGGGTTGTCTTTCTCTGAGATGCTGAGTGATATTGGTTTATGCTGGTTTAAGGGGATATTTTATTCTTTATTCTTTTGTGGGATGTGGGCATCATTGACAAAGTAAATATTTGTTCCCAATTCCTAATTGCCCTCGAATTGTCTGGCTTTTGGAGGGCAGTTAAGAAGCAAGCATATTACCCATGAGTCCAGAGTTGCATGTAAGCCAGACTGAGTGAGGCTGGCAGATATGTTTCCCTTTAGTGGCCCAGATGGATTTTCACAACAGTCAACAATGGCTTCCTGGTCACCATTACTGAGGCTAGCTTTTAATTCTAGAATTTATTGATCTAATTTAAATTTCACCAATGCTCATGGCATGATTTGAACCCATGACCCCAGATCATTAGCCTAAATCTTTGGACTAGTCCAGTGTGGTTAACATTGCGTCACCAATTCTTATTGGTTTAGTGGGAAGTGTTGTTAATAGTTGCTTTTTTTAATTGATCTGGTATTTATTGCTTTAATAAATATGAGATACTAATAGTTATTTTTGTCCTCTGTTTAAATCCTCCCTTTTCGGCTTTTCAATTCTCTTCTCCACTCTTGTTTCTCATTCACGTTTGCATACTTCTTAACTTCTTCCCTGTCTTTGTTGTTCTTCTATGTGGTATCTCATTTCTTTATTTTATGTAACCTCCTCTCCTCCAAGCCATTCTTTCTTCTTCCTCGATTCTGCCTTCCATTATCGTTATTTCCATTTTGCATGTTTCCTGCCTGGCCCAGTTGTTTATAGTGATGATTTTCCTGGTGACCGTGATCATGTACCGTGGGATTATCAGTGTGATGATGTACCACACAGGCAACGCTATCCTAAAGACTCAGGTGAGAAAAGGATAACTAACCCTGTGTATTAACTGTTGTGTGCTATACAAAAATTATAAGAGCCAGTATGCATGTTCAGCTTTCCATGTACTTTAAGCTATGCTGTAGGAGTAAATATAATAATTTACCTTTTTGCATTGTCCTTGACCGAGTGACCATGGCTCCCAACGGCACTAATTAACTGAATCACTTGGGTAACATTGAGAGCGTTTGAAAGTATTCTGTGCTAATCTTCTGACACTCTGGCAAAAACACATAATTGGATTAATGCACTGTGCATTTAACAATGCAGCAAGTGACTAGGTGTGTGATAGGATAGTGTAAGAAGAGTTTCATTTTGATAGAAGATTAGAGAGAGAGGGTAATTGTGTATCTAATTTATGGTGTACCTAATCAGAACATGGCCAAGTTTGACACTGGGTATTTAAAATACAAAATGCTGCATTTTCTCAGCATTAACGGCAGCAACAGCTTGCACTCGGCATTTCAGATTAACAATATCTCATTCAGCAGCTATTTTCATTATGCTAATCAGTAGAAAGTGAGAAATTTGGAAAGATGATTGATGAAATGGATTTTGAGGTTTTTTTTAAAATGTGGAACATAGAACATAGAACATAGAACATGGCCTGTACTGTGCTGTACAGTTCTCTTTGGCCCACGATGTTATGCTGAACTTTTACCCTAAAACCTAAGGTCTATCTAACCTCCACCTCTACCTTATACTATCATCCATATGCCTACCTAATAGCCGCTTAAATGCCCCTAATGAGGCCAACTCCACTACCCTCTCTGGCAATGCATTCCACGGCCCTACCACTCTCTGAGTAAAGAACCTACCTCTGACGCATCCCCTATATCTACCTCCACTCACTTTAAAACTATGCCCCCTCGTACCAGCTACCTCCACCCTAGGAAAAAGTCTCTGGCTATCCACTCTATCTATACCTCTGATTATTTTGTACACCTCTATCAAGTCACCTCTCATCCTTCGTCGTTCTAAAGAGAAAAGCCCTAGCTCTCTCAACCTTTCCTTATAAGACCTTCCCTCCATTCTAGGCAGCATCCTGGTAAATCTCCTCTGCACGTTTTCCAACGCTTCCACATCTTTCCTGTAATGAGGCGACCAGAACTGGACACAATACTCCAGATGTGGCTGAACCAGGGTTTTGTATAGCTGGAGCATAACTTCACGGCTCTTGAACTCAATCCCTCTATTAATGAAAGCTAACACACCATATGCCTTCTTAACAACTTTATCCACCTGGGTGGCAGCTTTCAGGGAACTGTGGACATGATCCCCAAGATCCCTCTGCTCCTCCACACTGCCAAGAATCTTTCCGTTAACCCTGTATTCTGCTTTCAAATTTGTTCTTCCAAAATGAATCACCTCACACTTTTCAGGGTTAAACTCTATCTGCCACTTCTCAGCCCAGCTCTCCATCTTATCAATGTCCCTTTGTAACCTAGAACAGCCCTCCGCACTATCCACAACTCGACCCACCTTCGTATCATCCGTGAACTTACTCATCCAACCTTCCACTCCTACATCCAAATCATTTACAAAAATCACAAATAGAAGAGGACCCAGAACAGATCCTTGTGGTACACCACTCGTAACTGAGCACCATGTTGAATATTTTCCGTCCACTACCACCCTTTGTCTTCTAAGGGTCAGCCAATTCTGAATCCAGTGGAGTTGGAGACAAAAAGATATATGCAAGCCTTGGGTAGCTGAAGAATGCCATTGCCTGTGGTTTGGCAAAGAGAAGGAAGATGCACAGAAAGTCAGAAGCACAGTGCTCACCGGGAAACAGGATTACAGGAGATTTCAGATATACAATGGGATAAGGGATTGGCAATGAACAGCTTTTAAAGAGGTTCACAAATTGAAAGATTTGGATAACAGTGGGCATGGGCTACCTTGAATGAGAAAGTTGTATGGTCAAGCCAGTGGACACTAGGAATGGCCCTGCCTTTGGGTAAAATACATAGCTCCAATATTGAACACACAGATCAGTGGAGAACTGGTTGAAGATTAATCTCTTTAAGTGGTCACTAAATTTAATTTAAATATATAACTACTCTGATGTGTGTAAAATGGTTTGCAATCTAGATCATCCTTGCTAATATTAAATGTCACCTTTGACATTTCCCCACTGATGGCAATTCTGGAACCATTTCTTTGGTGTGGGGCGAGGATGTCTTCAAATATTGCAGCCGATATAGGTGCTGGTTAATCCACTGCACAGCCCCTCATGCACAACATTGAAATCTAATGCTCTCCTCTTCTGAACTTGCTTACTGATGTTGGACTACAGTTCCACAGGTGGCAGCTGCTTTCTGGGTCTTCATTCACCCGTCTGTTGCTCATATATGGTTCTAATATTAGATATGTTCTAATTGTACTCAGTGTATTGCAATTAATCCCTGACAGGCTGAAAACATAGCGAATATCAGCAGCTCCTTAGTAAACCTTATTCTCATCCTGCTCATGGGCCAGGTCTACACTTCGCTGGCAGAAAAACTCACCAGATGGGGTAAGGAAACTATCAGCTCAGTGCATTCAGAGTCTGTCCCCGTTTAGTGTAAATATGCTAATAGCTCTACCCCTTTATAAATATGGAATTGTAATAAGTCGGAGTAAGCCATTTGACCCATCGAATTCAGTCTGCCATTCAGCATGATTGTGGCTGATCCTTAATCTCAGTAGTATAGTCAAGCACTGTCACTGCAGCTGACTTAAAGAGATTTCTTTAATATGCAGATAATCTGCTACATTAGCCTAACAAACCATATTTATATTATAGCACTTGTACGCCAGGATGCCATCATTTTGCAGACTTGATGATCTACATAGGTAATTACATTGCATTCCATGCATGCTAAATAGCAAAAGCAATCCTGCCTCATCTCGCTAGGAATGGTTGGCGGTTAAATAACTGATGAAGGGGGAGGCTCCATGTCCTCAGTGGTGAGGACACCCAGCATGGTGAGTGGGAAAGCCTAGGTTTGCAACCTTTCCAACCAAAAATGCTGAGCAGATGATCTATTTAGGCCGCCTACTGAGATCCATGCTGTCCCAGAAGCCAATGTTGCAACTGACTCCACAAAACATCTGAGCACACTAAGCAAGTACTATAGGCCAAACAGTATCTTGGTTGTAGAGCTGAAGGCATTGCTGTCCAGATCTCTAGCCAAGTTGTTCCAGAACAGCTAGAACACTGGCATTCATTGTCCCAAGTGGGAAATTGACTATATATGTTCTGTCAATAAAAAGCAGGACAAGTCCATTTTGCCCAGTTAACTTCTCGAGAGTCTATTCTTGACTATCAATAAAATGATAAAGAGAAGTTGTCATTGACAGTATTATCAAGAGGTACTTACTCACCAATAACCTCCTCACTGATGCTTGATTTATGTACTGCCAGCATGACTTGGCTCCAGGCCTCATTTTAGCTTTGTAAAAGTAGACAAATCCTGGGATCTGATTTGGATGTTTCCCAGAACTTTATGGGAAGCTAGCCAATTGGATACAAAATTGGCTTGAAAGTAGGGAATGGCAGTGGTAGAGGGTTGTGTTTCGGACAGGAGGCCTGTGACCAGTTGTGTGCAGCAAGGATCAGTGCTGAGTCCACTACTTTTTGTCATTTATATAAATGATTTGGATCTGAATATAGGAGGTATAGTTAGCAAGTTTGCAGATGAGACCAAAGTTGGTGGTGGAGTGGACAGTGAAGGTTATCTCCGAGTACAACGGGACTTTGATCAGATGGGCCAAGGAGCCAAGGAGTGACAGATGGAGTTTAATTTAGAAAAATGAGGCATTGCATTTGCTAAGGCGAATCAGGATAGCACTTATACAGTTAATGGTAGGGCCCTGGGGAGTGTTGCCGAGCAAAGACACTTTAGGGTGTAGATGCATATTATCTTGAAAGTGGAGATGCATGTAGACAGGGTGGTGAAGAAGGCGTTCGGCACACTTGCCATCATTGGTCAGTGCATTGAGGTAAAGAAGTTGGGACATCATGTTGCATTGGTGAGTCTACTTTTAGAGTACTGTGTTCAATTCTGTTTTCCCTGGTATATATGTTGTTAAACTTGAAAGGGTTCAAAAAAGATTTACAAGGATGTTGCCGGGATTGGAAGGTTTGAGCAATAGTGAGAGGCTGAATAGCCTGGGGCATTTTCCCTGGAGTGTCGGAGGCTAAGGGGGCGACTTTATAGAGGTTTATAAAATCATGAGGGGCATGGATAAGGTGAATAGACCAGGCCTTTTTCCCAGGGTAGGAAAGTCCAAAGCTAGAGGGCATAGATCTAAGGTGAAAGGGAAAAGATTTGAAAAGTACCTGCAGGGCAACTTTTCACATAGAGGGTGGTGTGTGTATGGAACAAGCTGTGAGAGGAGGTGGTGCAGGGGGGTACAATGACAACATTTAAAAGGCATCTAGATGTGTATTTGAATAGGAAGGGTTTAGAGGGATATGGGCCAAGTGCTGGCAAATGGGACTAGAGCAGTTCAGAATATCTGGTTGGCGCAGATGAATTGGACTGAAGGGTCTATTTCCGTGTTGGATAACTCTATGACTATGTGGTCAAAAGAGCTGAATTCCAGAAGTAGCTGAGATTGACTGCATTTGGCATCAGGACAGTATTGAGACAAGTGGGACATCAAGGAGACCTAGTAAAGTCAAACTTTTCCCCAATTCCCAATGAAGTCCCCAGCACAGAGGGGGATGGTTCAGGTCATTGGAAGCCAATCATTTCAGGCTCAGAACATCATTGCAAGAGCGCTAGAGGGCAGTGCCCTTGGCCGAGACATCTTCAATTGCTTCACAGGATTGTTAACATTTAAGAAGTATTATGAATTTCCCAGTGATCAAATTATCACATTATAGGATTTCATATCTTAAGACTTCTACAGTAACAAGCTAACTACAATCAACACCAACTACACATTACTTAGTTGGCAGCTAATACACTAGACTGTGAAAAAGGTATTTTCCCGATTAACTAATTAACACAACCCAGAACCCTATGCTGCATTTTTACATTACACCACAATTTCAGCACATATGTTATCTTGTAGACAAAATTCCAAATGCCCCCTGGTTTTCTAACTGGATCCTTTCTCCAGTCAACTGAGTCTTCCATTGTCTTTAAAATTCCCTTCACTCAATCTCTGAAGCAGAACTGAACAGACTTCCAGAGCAAAGAATAGGAAATCCATTTTCACCATTCTGTGTTGTTTTTTTAATCTCAAAATAGTGTTTCCCTTTGAATGGAATAGCAGCAACAGTATTCAGTCTTCCTCTGCAGTTCTCGAAAAGATCAGTTTGTTCCTCTTTTGTCTCAAGATGCGGAGTTGGGCCTTGATTTCTGATATGGGTCTCTACCCCTTACAAACTAACTCACATGAATCTTCTCTGGGCAGAATTCAGTATGACTTTAGGATATTCTGTTTTATCTTTAATTGAAAGAGATATTTTAAAACTGAGCCATCTTATAAACTCTGGAATTTGTAACCATATACAACAAGGCCTGGACAATATTCAGGCTTGGATTCATAAGTGACAAGTAACATTTGTGCCACGTAAGTAATAGGCAATGACTATATCTGACAGGAGAGAAGCAATTCACCTTCCCTTGACCTTCAATGGTATTATCATCACTGAAAGCCCACCATCAACATTGTGGGACCATTGAATAGGACCCTAACGAACAGCAGGTAAATACTCGTGTCTACGAGAACAGATAGAGGTTGAGTGTTCGATGGAAAGTTACTGCCTGACCCTTGAGAGCCTTTTCCACCATCTATAAGGCACACATCCAGAGTATGATGAAATTACCTGGAATCTGGATGTCTGCAGTTCTAATAACATTCATGAATGGCAACACTATCCAGAACTAAATGCCACTTACTTGACACTCCATTCATCATCTTAGGCATTCACTTCATCCCCAATGTACAGTATACATTGTATGCACTGCAACAACTTGTGAAGGCTTCTTTGTCAACACCTTTCAAACTTGCAAACCACTTGCAGATTCGTAGAACACAGCTCCAATCTCTCATTCAAACCACAGACTATCCTAACTTGGAGATATATCATTGTTCCTTCATTGTCACAAAATCTTGTGCAGTCCAATGTATCTTCACCACAGTCGTACAAGAAAGAAGGTACTTCAGTATCACCCTTTCCAGATCAAACAGAGGTGTGCAATAAACATTGGCCTTGCCAGTGATGCCCTCATCCCATAAATAATTTTTTAAAAAATGTGTTTATTCTTGTGGCTAGAATATTTATTGATACTTGCTTTACTGTCTTCTGCAGAGATGCACCGCACACAGACGCAGTTCGAAGATGCATTCACATTTAAAGTGTTTGTGTTCCAGTTTGTTAACTTCTATTCCTCCCCATTCTATGTGGCATTTGTCAAAGGAAGGTGAGGTAAAAATGCAAGCAAACTATTGTAAGGTTAAAATGAGATGACGTAGATTGTTAATGATAATTGCTGGCCCTTTTCCAGAGCATTCCACTATATTCAAATTGAAAGTGAGAATTTCCCAGAACTGAGAGGCATATGTAATAAAGATTTGAATATACTTATCAGTGTCTGAAAACTTTAGAATGTAAGGAAGCTTTGGTCAAATTCTTAATCCTCCTATGCTCCACATGCCCTGTCATTTTATGTACTTGCTTCATTCTCATTGCATTGAAATTAATATTAGTCACATCATGTCTTACTGTACAGTAATTCACTATAAACCAATACGAAAAATTGGTGGAATTCCTTGTCCCAGTCCTCACATCCTCATACAACCTATGTAGTTTTAGAACCAACCTTGCTTTCACTAAATCACTACTTCTCTCATCCTTCAACTTTGTTTCCCAATCCAAGAAAAGCACCTAAGTTCTCAACATTTTAATTTTACATAGAACATAGAACTGTACAGCACAGTACAGGCCCTTCGTTGTTGTGCCAAACTTTTACCCTAAACCTAAGGTCTATCTAACCTCCACTCCTACTTATACTATCACCCATATGCCTATCTAATAGCCGCTTAAATGCCCCTAATGAGGCCGACTCTACTACCCTCTCTGGCAGTGCATTCCACACCCCTACTTCTGACGTCTCCCCTATATTTACCTCCATTCACTTTAAAACTATGTCTCCTCATAATAGCTACCTCCACCCTAGGAAAACATCTCTGGCTATCCACTCTATCTATACCTCTGATCATTTTGTACACCTCTATCAAGTCACCTCTCATTCTTCGTCGTTCTGAAGAGAAAAGCTCTCTCAATCTTTCCTCATAAGACCTTCCCTCCATTCCAGGCAACATCCTGGTAAATCTCCCCTGCACCTTTTCCAATGCTTCCACATCTTTCCTGTAATGAGGCGACCAGAACTGGATAAAATACTCCAGATGTGGCTGAACCAGGGTTTTGTATAGCTGGAGCAAAAATTCATGGCTCTTGAACTCAATCCCTCTATTAATGAAAGCTAACGCACCATTATGTCACATTATATAATGGTTTTGAATATATAAGATCACATGGAGAGATTTTCCAGGTGTTGGATGGCAGGCTTGAAGGCAAACTGATGGGAAATTAGGGATATCATATTGAGATAGCTCCTTGATGCATTCTGATCTCTCTGGAAGTTTCCTAGAGGTGGGTCCAACTGAAACAAAGTGAGCAGCCAATTTAAATAATTAAAGATCTCAATAGGTGCAACTTAAAGGATTTTCTGGCATCTTGTCAGCAGCATGATTGGTCTCAACCGTGTGGAGAGTCTGCCACTTCAGTGGAGATGAGCCTCCTTGCAGCAGACTGGGTACCATTGGAGCCTTTTTTTCCCTTTATTCATTCATGGGATGAGGGCATCGCTGGCTAGGCAGCATTTATTGACCATCCCTAACTGCCCTCAGGACAGTTAAGAGTCAACCACATTGCTGTGGTCTGGAGTCACATGTTGGCCAGACCAGGTAAGGATGGCAGTTTCCATCCCTAAAGGACATTAGTGAACCAGATGGGATTTTCCAACAATCAGCAATGGAATCATGGTCATTATTGGATTCTCAATTCCAGGTATTTATTGAATTCAAATTCCAACATCTGCTGTGGCAGGATTCGAACCCTGGTCCCCAGAACATTATTTGGGTCTCTGGATTAACAGTCCAGCGATAATACCACCAAGCCATCGCCTGGAGACTACACACCCCAATGAGGGGTCTACAGTAGCTTTACAATTTACTACCCATTTGACTTTGCACCATTAACTCTCATTTAATCATTTAATCTCTCCTGCCTTATATCACAGACTTTGCTTTTGATTCTTTTCCCACCTTGCACCTTTTCACTTGGCTTGACTTATACCTCTAACTTTTCTGGTTTCTGATGAAAGGCCATCAGGCTGAAACGTTAACTCTGTCTGATGTTGCCTTACCTGAACATTTCCACCATTTTCTGATTTTATTTCAATTATTTCAATGTTCTCCTGACCAGTCTCCCACCTTCCATCTTCCTTACAGCTCATTTCAAACTGTTATGTTCTATATTTCACTAAATTTTGTTCACTAGACTTGCTGAAAATACGCTGCTCCCAGTTCCTCAAACCTCCAAACACGAGGATGTGGGTTTTAATCACTTCTACAGCAAAGGTTGAATTTAAATGCAAGTTGTGATCAATTATGGAATGTTTCTAAGAATTTCTTGTTTGCTTTTACAAAGGTTTGTGGGTTATCCAGGACATTATGGAAAGCTGTTTGGGATGAGAAATGAGGATGTAAGTACTAAGTCATCTGAAGAAGACCATTTCTTTTGGCCAAACTCCCCCCTCCTTTTTCTGAGACAGTGACTATGTGGGCTATTGTTTTAGAGAAAGTGATACATTCTCCTCAGTAGGATCTCACAATTTTTTTTAACCACACTTTACTTTTGACCGTTTCTCATTACATGATCTTGATTGACCACTTCAATGCTTCAAATTACCGGACTGAAGAGACTATTTTGTTTTTTCTTTCTCACTGATATGTGGTCATTTTTGACACATTTAGCTATCTTGTCTTTATTAAACAGACACATCTTTTCTATGTATACTGCATTTTCTGCTTTCTATCCATGTTTTCAATTTCTTTCCCTACTGCATTTTGTAGATGAGACTAGTTTGAAAGTGTAAAGGAGGTTAGGATAGGCCTGTATCCGGATTGCACACTGGATTCCTTGATGTTGAGAACAATAGGGAGAAATTAGTGCGTCTCTGATTCTGAAGCAAACAAAATGTAATGTGTGTTGATGGGGTGGGGGAGTGAGGGGTAAGATTTCTTGGAGCATTGACTTAGGAGATTTGTATCTTTTCCAGGGCACTGAAGCCTCTCTTCAGCATAATGTTAGTAAAACTTCCAGATGCAACTGCTTCTTGATCTGATGTTTATTTACCAAATAAAATAATTGTGGAGTTGGCCCATTATTATTTTATCAGAGTGGTTGCTTCACACTTCTACTCCTTACCCCTCTCGCTCTTATTACTATCTGCCTGTTGTAATATCTCATCTTAACAATGACTGCAATATATGTGAATTGACATATCCTTTCTGCTTCTCTCAGTGTGGCTCAGGAGGATGTCTGATTGAACTCGCTCAGCAACTTTTCATAATCATGGTGGGGAAACAGATAATCAGCAACATTGAGGAGTTTGCTATCCCGTGAGTAGATCTTTCCAGCTCCTTATCGCAGCCAGCATTAGATCATGGTTAATGTGATCAAGCATTGGGAAATTCTGTATCCTGCATACGAGCGGTCAAATTATCTCTGCCGTGTTAACCATGGAAGAAATGAAAAATTACAATGTCATGGGAGTTGAGTGGATGAGTAGATGAGGAAAAGCTTGAAATTCAGCTAAAACAAAACTGTAATTTAGAAAGCCCACGGGCCTGAAGAGTTTATAGTTTATCAAAGTACTCATGGTTGATGTACATGATGACCAGTATTCCATGTAGATATTTCGTTTATTATCTTTGGTTAATCCTTGGATAATGTGAAGTACACAAATAATGAAACTATTGCATCTGCTCCTAGGGTTATAGAAGAAAGTGTAAGTGCATTGAGACTATACATCTAATATGGAGACAAGTCAGGACATGTTCTGAAGTATTTTTTAATCTAGAGGAAGAAATATTGCCCAGCCTAGACATACAGGCTGCTGATAAACTACAGTGACATATCTTAGATAACACGGTGTGGAGCTGGAGGAGCACAGTGGGCCAGGCAGCATCAGAGGAGCAGGAATGTTAACATTTCGGGTCGGAACCCTTTTTCAGAAATGGCCATTTTTGAAGAAGGGTCCCAATCTGAAACGTCAACTTTTCTGCTCCTCTGATGTTGCCTGGCCCGCTGTGCTCCTCCAGCTCCATACTGTGTTATCTCTGACTTCAGCATCGGCAGTTCTTACTATCTCTGAGTGACATATCTTAACCTTGGAAGCAGTAGGCTGCCAGCATCTGGCAATGATGGTCTTAGGGCTTTTTGTAGCCAATCCAAAGCAATTGGTGATGCAGCATTGAGTAACCCCCAATCACAGCTCACTTTCATGCAGTTAAAAGCTACAACACAGTTGATGGATTTAGCTTTATACAGCAATTTATACCACAGGACCCAGTCAGTCCCATTCCTTTGCAAGTTTATTTCCTTTAAGCGCTCATCCAATTTCCTTTTGAAATTATTTCATTTTTTTTCTGCTTGTCGTTGGATGTATTTGTCAGGAAGCTAAAGGCCTGGTGGCAGAATCGAAAACTGGCCATTGTCAGGGGCTCTCAGATCTGTCAAGAGCCCAAGCGATGGGAGGTTGACAATGAACTCATTCCACCTGAAGGCTTGATTGATGAGTATCTAGAAATGGGTGAGTGAATGGAACATTTTTATCTCTGTGTGTTTCTTAATGGAATTTATAAATGCAACAAAAAATGGAAGTAGAATTACACAACTTCATTTACCGCGTGTATTATAGCCATGATCTTAACTTAATAAGGAATACCTTTAGAACAACATAGGATTGATGACCAGAGGTGGTGATACATCGTGAAAGCTACAATAATCTCCAACAGTGGTGATATTTAGTTCCTCCTAGTACTAGGGATGTTCAGTAATAGACACTCACAATGATAACCAGCAACAGTTAGTGGTGTCCAGTCATCTGTGTTGGTCACTAGTTTAGCCCAGTAAAACCCAAACATATTAAATGACAGAATAAGAATGATAACCATTAAAGCAAATGATATCCAGTAGTAGAGCTAATTAAATATTTCGTATTGACTAGTGCAATAACCAATTCTGTATCAGGTTCAGCAAATTTCTACATTTACAGCATGTGTTGCAATTTGCTGCCTCTATATTCCAGTGTCCCATGAAAACAGCTGGAGAGAATGAAAGTGTTCCTTTCTGAATGAATCTTAAGCTAACAAATCAATTGATATCATAATCAGTGACACTATGAGGTTAAGCAGGTTTTTACTGATATTGGGTGATATGCAGTAATGAACTGTGTATGCACAGGGCTGAGATGACATTATCATCTTAGGTGAAAATGCTGCACAACTTATGGTCATCTAGATCTCAATTATATTATGTCACTGTGCATGACACACTGTAAACAGGCAATGGCTTTATCATAATGATAATGACAGATTGGCTGTATAAATAGCATGTAGTTAAATAAAAAAGTGGTGATAAAATTTATTGGTATTCATATATACACGTGGCATGTCAGTGAGGTATAGAGGAGATTGCATGAACAAACAGGGTTCTGAGGTTCCTGACACTCTACTGTTCTTCCTCTTGCCAGTCCTACAGTTCGGTTTCATCACTATCTTTGTGGCTGCCTTTCCACTGGCTCCTCTTTTTGCTTTACTTAATAACTGGGTGGAGATTCGTCTAGATGCTCAGAAGTTTGTGTGTGAATACCGGAGGCCAGTGGCTGAGCGTGCTCAGGACATCGCAGTCTGGTTCAATATCCTCGAAGCGTTGGCTCAGCTTTCGGTCATTATTAACGTAAGTATCAAAGAACAAAATCAGTCAGTATCAATATTAGGAACCCAATGTATATCATTGATTTCCTATCCACGTCCTTTCTATTCCAATTTTCTTCTGAAGGAAGGATTGTTGCTGTGGTGCAAATTACTGCCCCCAATACCTCCAGCAATTGGACATTTTTTAAAATGAACTTGGAGTGTTTTAGCAGGGGTTTCACTAATCCTGTCAACCCACAGTGTACCCACATAAAATTACATTATTAGAGTGCCTTTCATGATCTCCAGGCATCCCATAGAGCTTTACAGCCAATAAATTTTATAGAAAGCTCCCACAAACGATAATCAGATACTCGGTTTCAGTGATGTTGGTTATGTGCTAAATATTGGCCAGGACGCAATAGTACTGTGGAATCTTTCCCATCTATCAGACAGACCCTGTGTGATTATAGTTTAACGTCCAAAGGAGTACAATTCTGACCATTCAGCACTGTCTCAGTACTGCAATGGAATGTCAGCCTAGACCTTGTGCTCAAATTTCTGAAGGGGGACTTGAGCCACAATCATCTGAATTGGATGGGACTGCCACCAGTGGAGTCACAGCTAGATTGTAATCAGGAACAGGAACCATGGTTGATTTTTGCCTCCTTCACAACCTTGGATCATTCAGGCCAATTGTAACAATTTTTCCACTGCCCTGGATGAGATCAGTTAGTTCAGCACAGATTGAGGATCAAGAATTATTTTGGAAAAATTTATTTTTTGCTGTTTGTGTACTCCACATACCCAGCTTATGTACGTACTTGTATTTGAGCATGTCTTGTGTATGCAACATATTCCTCTTAAACATTTATTCCAAAACAAGTTCCATTCTGTTTTCCTCTCCAGGCCTTCCTGATTGCATTTACATCTGAATTCCTGCCCCGCCTACTCTATCAATATGAATACAGTGTTCACTTGGACGGATACATAAACTTTACATTAGCATATGCTCCCAACACCTATGTGCAAAGCAATCATACCATGTGCAGGTGAGACTAACCTGGGGTACTCAAGTGTTCCCAATCAGACTGATGATGGGCTTCTTTCAAACTCCATCAATATGAGCTTCGAGAGTTTTAAATGACCTATGTCTTTAAGACTGGGGACTGGGTTACACTCAAACCACACCAAGATGGTCAGAGTGAGACCTCTGCCCATTGCTCCAACATGCCAAGACACCAGGCTATTTGAGATAACAAGGTGTATAGCTGGGGTCCCATTTCTGAAGAAAGGTCTAGGCCCGAAACATCAGCCTTCCTGCTCCTCTGATGCTGCTTGTCCTGCTGTGTTCATCCAGTTATACACCTTGTTATCTCAGATTCTCCAGCACCAGGCTATTTTCCTGGATTGGAGGTAAATCCTGTATTTTGTGATACTGAGAAGAACAGAAGTGCTCTGAGGATGTATTCTGGGGACAGGAAGTGACTGTCGGGGCATGTCATGGCTGGAGAGACATAGCCTGCACTTTGGAACCAAACCATGGAATAGGGTGGCAAGTGGACACAGTTTCAGTGACGTTGGGATGCCAGATTTTTAAGGCATACATCACAGTCTCTGGTGGATCATATTAAACAGCATGTCCCTTTTATTGTCCACAAAAGACTGCATACTGACTGTACTCAACCAGCCCTTACATGCAAATCTGTGATGGAGGCAGATCTCAGAGGAAAGATTATAGCAAGAAACGGGTATAGTTAATTTTGTCAATTAATTTGTCAATGGAGTTCTGGTTTACAAAAGCAATGACTCAAGTTGAAAAGACCATTAAAAAAAGTATTGTCTATTGAGTCAAATGTGATGATGAATCTTGATATGACTATAGTTGGAGTACACCATACTGTATGCAGTTTTGGACAACATAAAGAAGGAAATTTGAAGCAGTAGAGAGCATAGCAGCATTTCATTAGGATGTTGCCCAGGATGAAGTAATACAAATATAAAAGGATTGTCTTTTCTTTATAGCAGAGAAGATTAAAGTTGATTCAGTAAAATTTTTTGAAGTTTTGAAGAGGTGAGACAGTAGACGCAAACAAGTTGTTTCAATGACTGAAGGTCCGGAACATTGGCACATGGACTTAAGATGCAGTGTTTTAGCAGGACAGAGCAGGAGAAACCTTTATACACAATGGAATGCACAATTAGCATGAGTAATTGAAACAGAGACCATGTTAAAAACAAGTTACCGGGTGGTTGAAGGAACTGGAGCAGTGGTGAGATGATGTGAACCACAATATTATACATGTGCAGGGAAAGCAGCTGATTGCTGAGTAGGAATGGGGAATATTTCTAATCTTTCAAGTAAAAGCAAGGACTTCATTTTGTGTTTAGGTCTCTGGTCTTTTTCTTCTCTCTTGGTCTTTAGTCTTTGTCTTCTCTCTTTTGTTAAAAGTAGCTTGTGAATTATAAGGTTGGTATCAGTGATTTTTAAAAGAAATAATTGATAACAAGGATGTATAAAATGAGGAAATCCTATTGATGCATATAATAGTCTTGGGAGGACACGTGAGATGCAGTGGTAGTGCACCTACCTTTGAGCCAGGAGGCCTGGGTTTAAGTTCCAGCTGCTCCAGAGGTGTGACGTAACATCACTGAACACCTATAAGATGCATAGGGGGCTTGACAGGATAGAAGCTGAGAGTTTGTTTCCCCTTCTGAGAAAGTCTAGGACGAGAAGGCATAACCTCAGAATTAGTGGTACACAATAAAGACTGAGATGAGAAAGATTTCTTCTCTCAGGATAGTGAATCTGTAGAATTCTTTACTGTGGAGGCCCCGCCCATAAGTATATTCAAGGCTGAGGATAGACTTTTTTTAATCAGTAACGGAATGAATGGTTATGGAGAAAAGGTAGGAATGTGGAGTTGAAGATTATCAAATTGGTCATAACCTCATTAAATGGTGGTGCACACTTGATGGGCCAGATAGCCTCCTTTTGTTCCTACGTATTTTGGTCTTATGAAGGTGAAGAATTGAATGTGGTTTAGAACAGTGGGATTAAGACGACTGACAATGTGGAGCTTAAACACAAGAGACAGCTTGTTTCTGTGTTGTAATGCCTCATGGTTTTCTATCTCATGACAGGTACAAAGCATTCCGTGATCCAGATGGAAATCTCACACTGTTCTACTGGAAGCTGCTGGCTGTTCGACTTGGATTTATCATTGCCTTTGAGGTAGAGCAGTGGCAAGAATTTTTGTAAAGGAAATATTTATTTTTGAGTAGTAGTCTTAATCCTATCCTACTGCCCACTGGATTTGCTGGGTCCTTTTATGCATGTCACAGTCGAGGTACAGGTATCTCATTATAGATCAGTGCATCTTAATTGCTTCTCTGAAATGCAATGAGTAATTTTACATGGATCTGACTGTTCCTAGCAAACCTGAAAAAACCTACGAGTAAGTAAAAACAAAATCCCAAATGTACAGATCATGTTCAGGTAACCCCCATATGCTACAGCCCTTCTGTGTAGATACTTTTCTGATACTCCACCCCTGAAGGTTCTGCTTGGGTGTTTCTCCACAGTGTACTGTTCCTGTCTTATTACCTCCTGGTTACTCTCTCCTCAGTCCCACTATTGCTTCAGGTACAGAATGGGTTTAGTTCACGTTATTGAGATGCTATTCTTTGATTCTGCAGCATGTGGTGTATTTTATTGTCCGTACTATTGACTGGATAGTACCGGATATTCCAGAATTCCTTGAGATGAAAATGAAACGGGAGCGGTATCTGGCGAAGCAGGCATTAGCAGATAACCAGGATGTTTATCTGTCGGTGAGTCCATATTTGGCTTCTCCTGGTTAGTAAAGATAGAACTGTATGTTAGGCAGAGGCAGCAAACTATCAAATAAGAGTGTTTTCCTCACACACATGACCATAGTAACAGAGAATAAACAGTTGGATATGAATCAGACGAAATAATTGACCCTGGTCTTGGGTTTTAAAATCCTGGGGATTGTAGGAGAAACAGTGGATCCTGTGTGTGTGTGTGTTTGGGGGCGGTGAGGTGGGAGGGGTGTGGAGTTAAATAGCATGAGATACAGTAAGGAATGGTGTAATGAGTGTTAGTTTTGATGCAGTGTGAAGGTAGGGAAGAGATAGTATGGAAGAGGGCATTTTACAGCTGGAAGAACAGTAAAGGGAAGTTTGGAGAGGCGATGATCATACTAATATGGATAAAAGAAAACAGGTTTGTGGTTGTTTGTAGCTCACTCTAATTTCACTGATTATATCTCTGCAGGAAGCGTTATATCTGACAGAACCGTAAGCCAGCAAGTAGCAGCTAGGCCCCGTTCTGGGGAAAGGAGCTCACTGGCTGAATCACCTGAAAATAGCCCACTAAGCTGTTCCCATGGCAATAGGTGATGTGGGGATGAAGTCGCAGGATGATGGTATTGATTCACTCGTACAAGTCAATGCTTTTGGTTCGGCATCTGCTGCAGATGTGGCATTTTATACCCTAACCAGCTGCCTGTGCATGGCTGTGCAGCATCTCTGTTTTAGCGATGGATACAAGCGTCAAGATTGGCCTGTTCCGCTCTCCCTCCTCCAAACACCCAACAGTGCTAAGGATTGAAAATACATTGTGTGCTGACTGACATTTCCCTTTTCCTGAACAAAGTGGCTCTCTCTTGTTACTGTCCTGAACATATCCAGGTCCACGCTGATGGGCTGTTCCTTTGTGTTCTCCTTGATGCGTTAGCACTGTCACCCACAACATTAACTCCAACTGATTGAAGTATAAGTGTGACAGTATAGCATAAAATATGCAACTTTTTGCCACTACATCCTTAAACTTTCAAGGCCTGTGCGTGACTAGAAATGCCCTGGTCATGAATCCGGAAAAGGATGGAGCTCCTCAAAGACGATGTCAATCCTACTAATAAGGTGAGGAAGCAGACTGTGTCAAGGAGCTGACCAGACACAGTGAGGACACAGATTTACACTCCAGCTACCAAAAGAGCCCAATTTGGAAATGCCCCGAATCCCTCTATCTAATTCCAGAACAGGTAGACGCAGGCATTTAAGGCATACATATGTTTTTGGACCATGCACAAATGCACATGAACGTGTTGCCAGTTGCTTGAACTGTGGAGGAACTTTTCTGTTCAGCTGTAAGCCTTAGTTGAGCCTTGCTGGGCTGGTATCTACAAGCCGAACAAGAAAGCAACACAGCTCTGCCCTGCTTGGAAACATGACGACAGGAAGACCAAACCATTTGAATATATATCACTGCTACTTTGCCTTCTTACTGTGCATCAATCACAAAAGTAAAAGAGTTGCTCAATAAAGAATATAGATCCAAACGATATGTGACCTGAACTTGCTCCTCACTGCATTTTTGCTTGGTAGAGATCTGTATTCTCAGTAACAGTATTTAATCTAAAAACGCACATGTAAAACTTGTCATTTGGCTCCCATATCTCTACTCTGCATCTATTACAACCTTTCTTGTCTCTCTCTGTCTCTCTATTTTATCAAAACTACTACAACTGATCCTCATTTGAACTTGCTTATTTTGTTCCAAACAAAAACATAAATTGCTGGAAAAGCTCAGCAGGTCTGGCAGCATCTGTGGCGAGAAATCAGAGTTAATGTTTTGGGTTGCGTGATCCTTCCTCAGAACTAAATAAAAACTAAAAGAATTGCAGATGCTGTAAATCAGGGGCAAAAACAGAAGTTGCTGGAAAAGCTCAGCAGGTCTGGCAGCATCTGTTTAAAAAAAATTCAGAGTTAACCTTCTGAGGAAGGGTCATCGGACCCGAAACATTAACTTCGATCTTTTTCTTCACAGATGCTGCCGGACCTGCTGTGCTTTTCCAGCACTTTCTGTTTTTGTTACTGATGTACAGCACCTGCAATTCTTTCAGTTTTTATTTAGTATTTAACTCACTGCCACATCGCTTCCGTGCATGCCCACCTTGAAGATATTTTTGCCTATTTTGTTTCTCCCCACTTCCCCTTCATGGTGTTGAAATTAGGGCATACTGCACCATCTTAGTCGCCAACTCAAAATTCAATTTTTTTCTCCATATATCCATATATGTATATTTATATACAGATGTAAAATTAACCACTTGTATTTATAATAGCACCTTTAGTGTAATAAAACATCCCAAACTGCTCAGCAAGAATGTCCAAAAGCAAAATATGATTTTGGGGCACATGAGACAATATTGGTGTAGATGCTGCAAGAGATTTTGAAGTTTGTCTTAAGGGAGGAAAGAAATGGGCAGAGACAGAAAGATTTAGGAAGGGAATCTAGTCCCAATACAGCTGAAGGCACAGCCACAATTAAAATATCTTGCGGCTCAATGCCAAACTTTATTTGACAAGTGATCATGTGAAGCGCCTTGTGAGATACAATGTAGATGCAAGTTGTTTCAGGGGTGTGCAGGCTTTTACTTTGTGCCTTATCAGTTTCTGAAGATATGCCAAAACACTTTATAGCTAATTAATTGGTTTTTAAATGCAGTGACTATTTGTGATATTGGCAAATGCAGCAGCCAATTTGCTCAAAGCAGGGACCCACAAAGAACAAGTAAAATGGAGGCAGTCAATCTGCTTTGCTGGTGCTGGTTGAAGGAGGAATATTGATGTGTACACCTGGAGCTTTGGTTAGTGTTGTGGATCTTTTACACATACATGAACCACTGGCAGATAGAACATTCCTTCATTGAACATCTCATCTAAACGGTAGAGTCTTGGATAGTAGGCCTCCCTCAGTACAGCCCTGCAGAGTTAGGATAATCGTGGGCAAGTGCTGGAAGGGAGCTTGAAGCTCCATCAGCAATGTGAGTGTTACCCACTCAACCAAACGGTCACATTCCTATTCCAATGATTGGGATAAAGAGACACCGCTAATGGAAGGACAGATTAATACAATACCTCCATCCTTTAGGACATGTTGTTGAACTAATGGGAATGATGGCTGTTCCAACTGAAAATTATGTTCTGGTCGAGCTGAGATGGCTCCGATCCCTGATGTAAACTAAGAACTTACAAATGCTTACTCCAATCCAGTACACTGGCAAATGCTTGTGAAGGAGTCTGCTTTATATTGAAGGAAGCAAACACAAAGTATGTGTTCAGTGCTGTGAATGTCTCCGTTCTCTCCATAAGTTTTACCAGGGCTACTTTGTTTCCAAACCGTTACTCTCCATTCCAGTCCTGACATTACATCATCAGCCTCAACAATGCGCCACAAACCACAACACTGACTTGAGGCTGTTTTGTGATTTATGCATCCTTTAAGGAAAAAAATAACTAATTATTAATATAGATCCATTCAGACAGAAGCTAAAGACAAAATTTTTCCTTAAATCAAGTGAATAAATTGTCCTCTGGCAGTCCTGTGAGAGTCACGAAGATGTTTAGATGTGGTTCTGTTGCCTCTTTAGTGTAATCATAGTTGTTTGTGTCTTTTGTTCTGAAACTTGCATTCTAAATTGCTACAAATCACACTGTGCGTAAAACACTTGCTGACCTGGTTTGTATCTTCTGTACATTTGCATATTTAGATTGCGGATGAAGTCTGACCTGGATATATACCAACATATTTTGATTGAATAAACTAGTTCATGTAATAGTTTATTTGAAATTTTGTTTATTGGAGTTAAATTATATAAGATTTGTTTCTTTTTTTATTCCAACTTTTAGCTTCTCTAGATCTTTAAGAATTACAGGTTCAATAGTGTTCGACACGTTTTATTCCGTAATTGTCCCTTTTTTTGGCATAATATTTGGCAGGGCAGACAGTCTGACATCTCTGTTCCATTTTTGTCTTATGTTGCCCATTTTATTCTCGGTATCTTTCATTTCTGTGTTTGAAATTGCTTTCATAAGTAACAGATTCTTTGAATCAACAAGTTAGGTTTCTCTTAACTCTGCTCTTTTAAACTGTGACATTCTAGATAGGATACAAGCACTCATGAAGTTAAATACAGCTTTGAGACTATTATATTCGCCATGAGGTCTCCGTAAAGTTCTCTGCATGAACTCTTACTATTTGTTCCATCAGCAATTGGTTCTATTTTTTACCTTTGTGAGATTTGCGCTCATCTTCAAAAACTGTGGGATAATTCCACAGTAGACCTCATCAGGGTCTTTTAATGTAAAATGAATTTATTTAAATGGTAAATAAATAAACTGATTTTGTTTTACAATCATGAAGAAGGAGACATTTTTTTTCAAGAGTTTTTTTTCCATGGAGTTTATTTGTTGAGTTTTGATCTGCAGAGTGATTTGTTTTTGGGACAAAAAAAAATTATGTAAAATAATACACGAAGAAGGAGAGATTGCTTATATACAGAGCTTATGGAGAGGCCTACACATGGATAGCTCTGGAGAGAGTCTTTTATACAGAGGTTGAAAGCTGAATTTTGGATTATTTGAAGAGGGATCATTTTTGTTTGGTCATCTAAGTGTTTGATTTCTTTGTAATATTTATGTTTAATTTTTTTCCTAATTTTTCCATGCTTAATATTAAATCTGTGGGTAAGGAAAGAAAGTTTATTTTTATATATAAGGTGCTATTGAGTGCTTCATCTTTTTAGGCTTAATGTCACTGAGGGCATACAAGAGACACTGAGCGTGGTGACTAGCAGATTTTGAGAAGTGATTACACGGCCAGATAGATGGGGAACTGTCAGGAAAGGTAAGAAGGTAGTTGAGAAATTTCCTGCGGCTGTTCCTCTCCCAAACAGATATTCCATTTTGGATACTGTTGAAAGAAAGAATCTCTCAAAGGAAAACAGAAATGGTAGTCAGAACTTGGGAACTAAGAATGAATCTTATGTTAAACTGGGTTTGTCAAGAATTAGAAGAATAATTGTTACAGGGACTCGCTTGTCAGGCCCCCAGACAGGAGATTCTGCAGCAGTGAGGGTAAATCAAAGAGAGTATCTTAGATTTGCTTTCCTGATGCCAGAGTTAAAGAGGTCTCCAAATTTGAAGCATATTGTCAAAGGGGAGAGTGAGAAACCGGAAGTAGTTGTACCCATTGATAGGAATGACGTAGTTAGGGAAATGGTTAAAGCTTTGCAGACTGAATGTAAGAGGTTAGGTAGAAGGTTAAAAAAACTGAACATCAAAAGTAGGAATCTCTGATTTACTTCCAGTGCTAATGAAGGATGGAATAAAAGGATTTGGAAGATAAATCCATGGCTGAAGAGGTGGTGCAGTGTGCAGGGATTCAGTTTCTTGGATCATTGGATCTCTTCTGGGACAGAAGAGACCTGTTTAAAAAGGATTGGTTTCACCTGAACTGGAAAAGGACCAATATCCTGGTGGGGAGATTTACTAGTTCTGTTTCGGGAACCTGTAAACTTTTTTGGGGGTGGCTTCTGAAGTAACAGTGAAAATAGGAAGAAAAATTAAGATGGTTCTGAAACAGAAAAGAAAAAGTTAAATAGAAAAGACAGACAAGAGCAATTCAGAGAACAAAGTAACTCTGAAGAATTAAACTGCATTAATTTCAATGCAAGAGGTCTTACAGGTAAGGCTGATGAACTCTGGACATGTATGAGAACATGGGACTGGGACACCATACCCATTACAGAAACTTGGCTGAGGGAAGGACAGGACTGGCAGCTCAATGATCTGGGCTTTTGATGCTACAGGAAGGAAAGTAAAGGAGACAAGAGAGGAGGGAGAGTGGCATTTTTGATTAAGGAAAATATTATTATGTAATTAGAGAAGATACTTCTGAGAGATTATTTAGTGAAAATATTTAGTTTGAGCTTAGAAATAAGAAAGCGATGATGGGATTGTACTTTTGGATGCCCAGTAGTTAAAGGGAAATTGAGAAGCAAATATGTAGAGAGACTCAAATATATGTAAGAATAATAAGGTTGTCATAGTAGTGGATCTTAATTTTCCAAACATTGACTGGGACTGCCATTGTGTTAAAGGTTTAGATTGTGAAGAATTTGTTAAATGCATTCAAGAAAATTTTCTTTATCAATATGTAAATGTTCTCACTAGAGAAGGAGCAAACTTTGACCTTCTCTTAGGAAATAAGACAGGGTAAGTGACTGAAGTGTTAGTAGGGGAACACTTTGGGACTAGTGATCGTAATACTATTAGTTTTAAAATAGTTATGGAAAAGGATAAGTCTTCCATAAAAGTCGGTCTTAATTGGAGTAAAGCAAATTTTAAAGGTATGAAACAAGAATTTTCAAAAGTTGATTGGAGTAGACTGTTCACAGGTAAAGGGATGACTTACAAGCAGGAAGTTTTCAAAAGTGTGATAACGAAAGTTCAGAGGCATTATGTTCCTGTTAGAGTAAAGGGAAGGATGGTAAGATTAGGAAACAACGGATGAATAAAGATATTGAAGCTCTAGTCAAGAATAGAAAGAAATCATATATTAGATGTAGACAACTAGAATCAAAAGAGTCTGTTGAAGAGTTTAGAGAGTATGGGGTCATTCTTAAGAAGGAAATCAGGAAGGCAAAGAGGGGATACAAGGTAGCCTTGGCAGATAAGGTTAAAGATAATCCATAAAGATTCTACATGTACATTAAGAGCAAGCGATGAAAATAAAGAGAGAGTAGGACCCCTTAAAAACCAACAAGATTATCTTTGTGCTGAACCTCAGGAGATGGGAGAGATA